TATTGAGAGAAAGGTCTCTGTCTCACCTTTTCTGCTAAATAATGAGTATGATTTTTCTGTGAATCAATACACTGGAAGCTTTCTAGATAGTAATTCTCCAGTTCTTCAGTTGCTCATAACGTACGTATATATATATATCTCCAGCTTCCAAAAATCCATTTTAAAGAAACACTGTTCCTTACACGCAAAGCATTACAAAGGCTCTGTATGTGCAGCCCCTGTAAGCTTAAGAAATATGATTAAATTGCACATGGGTAGACATGTAGCATCACAGCTTTACCATATAAAGTTCCCAGGGCCAAAATTAACCTCCATGTAATTCTGTATTATTATTGCTTGAACTAGCCCAATTTTTTTGCTAAGATCTTAAAACCACAAAGTTGGTAGAATCCTGTAAAAACTTAGTAATGAAAAATAAACACACAAGCCTCAGCATTACTGTTTCAGAAGATACATTGAAAACACAATGGTTTTGTGTTTTTTAAGTTTGAAGTCCATTTCTCCAGACAAAGACCATTTATAGAATAAAACATACTCATTCAGTGAAGCCAAGACCATGTGCTATTTCAGTAATCCTTAACTCATTCATCTTCATCTTGAGCCTTCTCCTCATCACCTCATCCCACTCAGATCTTACCCACTTTCAGTTTTTGTTTATTCCTTGGTGTCATTCTTTTGTTTCAGGTGTCCAGCTTAATAAAGATAACTCCTAATAATTATCTATATAGATATTGCTTTAAAAGAGGGAAAGGTGGGGGCCTTGACCAGGCATGATGGGTTTTCATATAATAGCTTTTTTCCCAAATGTGGTGCTATTTGCAGTGTATGAAAACATTCATCTCCATAAAAGAAGTCAGAAAAAATAGCAAGACAAGATTTTGATCAATACCAATTCTGATCAAGCTTGATCACAGCACTTGATATTTTGAACAAGTCTGGAAGTACACTCACAGAAAACTCAGGATCTAAGAGTCTCTAGTAGTGTAACAGGACACTGATGACTTGGGTAGGGAATATTCTGTCAAACTTTCTGTTTGCCTTATATAGCTATCATAAGGCAATAAGATGCATTAACATAATTATGTAATTCATCTCTTTGCCAAAACTTCAGTAGCACTGTTATATTGCTGATTTATTTTAGGCTTTTGCTTGTCTTCATTTTTAAATTGGTAGAAGGAATTACGGTTTTATCAAGGTGTTTATAGATGAAAAAAACTAAAAAAGTTTTATAAGTGTTTGAGATCATTGTATATAAAAATGGTCATCAGATACCATCAAAGTAACATCCAGGGAGCTGGTGCACGGATGGACAATGTGTCACTTTTAGAAAGAGCACTGTTCATTTGTATTTTCATACAGACATACCAGGGAAAGTTGTAAAGAGCAGATTTTTCCAAGCTGCAAAAAATGAGGCTCATAAAAACATGCATTCACTAATCACTAAATGTATAAATGAGCAGGAGTATTGTTAATGGTTCCTTCTCCTCTGGAGGCCCGTACTACAGCATTAAAATGTGAATGGGACAGATGTAGACACCTAATCTGGATGGGTCTGGGATCCAGATCCGATCTTCTGTTCATTGCACCTATTTCTTTTTATCACTACATGGTTTATAAAAGAAAGCTCAGTTAATTTAAAAAAAAAAAAAAAAAAAAAAAAAAAAAGAAAAAAGATGCAGAGAAGCAAGAGTTTCCAAGCTAGCATTCCTAGTTTTAAACTGATTTTCTGAGACGGTCAGGGTCCTTCTCTTCTTTATCTCTGAGGACTCATTCCCTTCCTTCTCACACAGGACAGAAATCTTTCTAAGATACTGAATCAGGAAGACTGTTCTGTGTAATTTTCATACTGCACTCAGCACTGCTGTGTTTGAGGGCTTCCCAGGAATGTATTAAGCAATGTGACTAAGCTCTGCCATTTGGGTTTGTTTTTTTTTTTCCCTTGTCTTCTTCTCCAGGGGGAGAAGTGCGTTCAGTGGAGTGTTTTGTTTGGAATTTATTTTATTTATTTTGTGCTGTACATAGGTACATTGCAGTGTGCTTTTCTTAAAGAAACAAGGTCAAAGAAATGCATCTTGCACTATAACAAAGGTGGTAAATTTTGTGAGAGACCTTCATCCATGTGGGAATTCATTAACTAACATTAATTAGCTGACTGGTCCCCAAGAAAGCTCTGCTACATGCGTAGATGAGCTGCACCTTTCCTAGAGGAAGTCTGAGTCCACCAGGAAGGAAGGATGTTCCTGCTCTCCAGCCCAGATGTCTCTGTAGTCACTATGGGCTCAGGCCATTGAGCATCCTCAACATAAAAACTGCCACACTCAGCTCTGAGTGTGTGCCCTCTGCTGCTGATGCAATTAGAAGATAAATCTTGAATGGCTATCACTGGGTCAGAACCAATAAATTGCTTGGTTAAAAAAGAGAAAAAAACAGAAAACTAATGTGATGTTCAAGTTAAAACAAAATTATTATGTGTACCAAGCAAAAGGCTGGATAAATGTGGGAGAAGGGGAGGTTTATTTTATGAACTCTGATTATCTCATGGGAAAAAAAAACTTCCATTTGTATTTAGAACAGAACAATTTCTAGCTTTAAGGCACTCTTTTAATCAGCAAGCTCATCTGATGAAATGCTGTAGGATTTACTTATATATCAAAGGAGTTCCCTAGACATTTAAGGGATGCAACTGAATACAATTAAAAGATCAGTTGTAAGCACAGTTTGTGATACAGTTTGTTTGCTGTGCTTTGTGAGAGAAGTTTAGTTAATAACATGTGAACTTGAGGTGTTTTAGCAGAGAGTAAAGTATTGAACTGTATTACAAGAAAAGCTTTACCATTGCAGTGGCCTACTAGAAATGGAGCTATTCAGCTATCTTGGATCTTATGGTCTGTAAAAAGAGAATAGAGAAACTATTAAGCCAGGTTCACATCCAAAACTGGAATCATTTATGAACAACCTTTCTGGGCCTAATTCGTTGCGGAGTTAAACTTCATGTAATGTCACTGAAGTCAATGGTGTTATGCAGGGCATAAGTCAGTGGAACAAATTAGCCCTCTGTATTGAAGCCAAGAAACCAAAGGAAAGAGTGATCCAATAAAACAGAGATTAAATGCTGATATTAGCTGAATGCCACTGTTCTTGGTACGGTGCGCTCTTTGTGTCCAGTGGTGAATATTTCATCCTTCCCAGGTGTAAAATCTTCCTAGCAGCACTATAAGGCAGATTTATAATAAATGACAAAATTAATGATTTATTTCTGTTGTAATGCAGTTTCTGGGCTCCCAACAGGAATCTATGCTGGCTGCAGTGTGATCTCCACATCAAGTCTTGATCTCTTCAGAAAAGTCTTGGCGCTGGCCTTCTTTTTTCCCTTTAGCCATCTCTCATCCATACAGGTGTTAGAAACTAACATTCATAGGTATGGAGAGCTTTCTACGTAGAAAACTGAGAGAAATACCAGGAATATCTGTGTAAGAGCTGGAGTAAATTAGGCACGGTCACTGCCTCAGGTATGAAGGTACTAGGAAACAGAATGGATTTATTCACATTTCCTGTAAACAGGTAATATTAAGGGCTCTAAGAACCCACAATATTGCAGTGATTTTAGGTGTGCCTTGCATTAATGAAAAAAAAAATCCATTTGCCCTAACCAGCATTCATAACAATACATGGTCTTCTCTCAGTTTTCACCCTTTTTGCTGTCTGACCCACTGATTACTTTGTCTGAAATTAAGATCATCTCCCTTAGCTGGAGATTATGGGTTTTGCACCACGTGCACAGAGAGCTCAGTCCTGGCTGGAGCCTTTACGCATTTTTAGTATCCTTATAAAGAACTAATTCCCAAAGTCTACAGTTGGGTTTGCAGCTCATGAAAAGATCTCTGTGAGGTGACCTGTACAGAATAACACATTTCGACAGCACGGCTCACTTTTCAGTACAAAGAGATCAAACAACATGAATTCTTTTGATGTCCTACCATGCAAACTTCAGTGATGAGCTAAAGGATGAAAAATGGTTTGTTGGCAATCAGTAGAGAAAACTCTCCAGACCTAAGTGTAAGGAAAGCTGTGTAAAGCAGACAACACGTGGCACATGCTGCTGCTCCAATATTTGTTCTGTTGCTTCTGGTGTAACTTCTCAGTGATGACAGAACTTGGTGGAAGGACCAGCAGAGGACTCACATGATACTTGGCCTGTGGCATGTGTGATATTGGCCATTTATTCCCTCTTTTTATTTTTTCAGGGGATAGTGTAAGATAAGCTATCTGCCATGGTACCTGAGAACCACTCCAGATTTTCATTTTCTTTAAATCCTGTTGCTTCTGTTTACAGTTCACTTCTGGGCATGCTCTGTGGAGGCGAATGGAAGGAATGAGATATGAATTTCCCAGCTGCAGAATGAGACGCTATCCAGACCTATCCAAAGTGCTAGATATGTCTTGAGGCTTGGGGGCTATTGCAGATACCAGAGCAAGTCCCACTAATCCACAGCCCTAATTTCAAGTGATAAAATATCACTATAAAGCCAGTTTACAAGTGCACTGAATTCATCCTTGGTTTAGCTGGCAAGGTTCTGCTAAAAAACAGAGTTCTGCTAGAGCGTCAGGTTTTGTTGGATAACAAATCTGATTTTGACAGAAATATTTACATTTTCAGTGGCTAAACACCCATCCATCTGACCACCCATCTCATTTCCAGTAATTAAAAAGAAGCCAATTCTGTAATGGAAAAAAATTTATCAATTTTTGGAAGTTTTATTGAAGGGTGTGTTTTTCAAGAAAAATGCAAAATTTTCCTGACTATTTTCAAAAGAATCACATAAAATAAGAAAGTGCACTTACTATTAAAATCACCAAACTGTTGTAAAGAATTACCATGACCTCATCAAATAGAGTTTGGTGAATATTGTTATTTCTGTTTCTGTTGTTGCTTTTCTAAAACCAACTCTTGTTTTTCTATTATATTTGCTTTATATCTAAAGCTATACATTTTGTTTCAGCTGGCGGGCTTCATCTATGCCTGTTATGTTGTGAAATGTATTACTGAAGAAGAGGACAGCTGTAAGTACTAAAGCTTTATTACATACAAAATGAATTCTTTTTTTTTTTTAAATCACCCGTCCACTATGCTGGCTCTTCCTGACTTCAAGTGAAATGCCTTATTATACTGTAGGCAGATCATGCTTTCTGTCCATCCTTCTTGATCTAAAATTTGCAAATGCCTGAAAGACAGGAGTCATGAAACACAGCTTAAAAAATACATACTAATTTCTTCTGAAAATATCATTGCAAGTTTTCTTCCTCACAGCTTAGCTTAAGACAAAAATTAAAATAGCAAAAATCCCAACTGGCAAATGGAAGCTTTTTTGGGTTTGGGTTGGGCTTTTTTCTTATTCCAGATTGTTATTAAGTATCTTCACAGTAATTGGTCACCACTGAGGGTATAGCTCTTCTGTGTTGGGTTCTGTGTTGGCTTGTAAAAGCACTTCTGGCAAAAAAAATAGCTTTAGATCATTGCAGGACCTTCATTTGTGAGAGGTGAAACTGTGGAGCTCCTCTTTGTTCCTGCTGCTCCGAGGGTACAATTACAAGCAGCAAAATGATTTCGTATAGATGTATGTTTGTGTTTCTTCTGCTTATTTATATGAATAGAAGCCTGTTGAGCAGAATTTGCTCTTATTACATGCTCTGGAGTCAAGCCATTTCATTTTTTCTCTACTCTAACCTTGATTTTTTAGAAAAGGCCACTGCAGCATTTCAGAACATCTTGGGATTCATACTAAAGCACTTTCGAATCAAGTATCAGAACTGCATGTAACTTTGATAAAATATACATGAATCCTAGAGAGAGCTCTGCAACAGGAAGCTAAAGGGGTTTTATTTGATTGAGAGCACTGCTAGGGCTGGTGGGGGGTTCCTTTGTGTGTTCTCCTGCGTAGAAAATAGCTGCAACCCTATAATCTGTTGGCAATACAGTGCCACTGTGAGCCATCAAGGGGAGATTTAGTGCCAAAATCAAACCACACTTCAGAGGTCTTTTTGACTATGCTTGTTTCTGTTGTCTTTGTGTTTCTGTGGAGGCGAGGAAGGCATGAGAGTAAAAAGAGTTTGGGACAGGCATGTGGATCAGGGTTTTCTCACAAATAGGTCTTGTCTTTTCAGGGAAGGACCCAGTCATATATACTTTCTCCTAGTTTCCCACTAAGTGCATTCCCTAGCCACACAGCTGGAGAAGAGTGATTTCTTGCCCCCCAAAAACAAAATCCTGTTTAATACTATTCTGCCCTCTATACTAAGGGCTTAAATCTTTTTTTCACTCTTCTGGAATGCTTTAGGGCATGATATAAGTAAAAAGCGAGGAAGGGACTTGTGACTTGGCTCACCAAACAAGTGCAAAAGTTGGAGCACATCTGAGAGATTTCTCCCATGGTCTGTAAAGTGACATTCCTAGCAGCAAAGCGCCTCAGCCAATATGGTACTTTTTCCTGCTCACTGCAGCAGGAGCTCCCTGTTGTTCAAAAGCCACAGATTGTCATGCTGCTTTGAACATTTTCTTGCCATCATCTTGCCTATTTTGAGGTTTTTATTACTTTGTTAGTACACCTCAGCCAAGCTTCCTCTTCTAGCCAAAGAGACATCTTGCCCATCTGTGAGCATCTCTCTGAAGTACCAGGGCAAATCCCCACCCAGCACAATGAAGCCAGCACAATCTCAGGCACTGCAGCTTCACCTCTGGTGAGTTCTAGAAGCATGGCTAGAAAAAAAGAGGAAAAAGGGAACTTCTGTGGGTGAGTCATCCCAACACTGCAATAATGCTCAGATCAGATTTGGCCCCTCAAGGTATCATAAAATTAAAGCAGCTTTAGTTTCTACTGAGAGGCTGCATGTAGCAGAGAGTAAGAATGATTTTAGTTCTCTCTTCACTCAGACATCTACTGGGATGTGTGTCGAGCGCTCGCTGTGACAGCCAGGGGCTGCAGTTTGTACAGATACCCCCTGCCCAGATTTAATTTTAGATTCTTTTGTTTCCATTTAGATATGTTTTCTCGCCTTTTCCCTCCCTTTTGGACATCCATATATCATGCTCCTCTGGGAAGTAATGTATCCCTTATGGATGCCATCTTATTTACTATTTATATTCCAGAGGAAGATGCCTAAGCATGACTTCCTCAGTACTTTCACAGATGGGGTCATCTAATGCAGACCAACAGAGTGCAAAAGATAAAAGTTTTCAGGAAAAGTGGAATATGTCCCAGAGCCATTGCTGGAGCTTCCTGAATATGTGAGTCTTTGGTCTGAGGTCACTTCAGATCCCCTAGCCGTGTTTCTCTTCCCATAGTCTCTTCTTCCACTTTTTCAGTTTCTCACCCCTGCCATGGGAGCAACAGCAGTCCAGAAGACGAGAGAAAGAGGCAGAAACACTGAGCCTGGCAGGAGCAGGCAGCAAGGCATGAGACTACAGAAGAAGTCATGCAACATCCGAGCCAGGCAGGGGCATGTTCCGGATTTTAACCAGAGGAACATATCAACACTGCTCCAGAGCAGAGAAGGTGCCTCATCTTCTGTTGGCACAGAGCCTCAACTGTAGAAACACAATCAAGTTGCTCTTAAGCTGCTTCAGCTGAATTAGCTTTGCTCTCAGAGTAATTAGAACAAGCTGAAAGAATTACTATTGCTCCATTCTTTATGCAGATTTTATTAAGAGAACAAATGAGCAAGGGTAGAATTAAGCAAACATTTCACTAAGATTAACCTGCTCTAACCTCACTAAAGGATTAGGAACAGAACAATACAGTGATCAAATCAAGGTCATAACTAGGGCTGAATCAGCAAGTCTAGAGGTTTTAATTACTCACACACCAAATAAATTCAGCAGCAGGCCCCCTAAATCAAAGCACAAGTCTGCACTACCTTTCATGACAACAATCTGCTTTGGGTTAATTCTGCATCAAGGATTAAAGAGGAAGCTGCCTTCCCTCCTGGTAGAGTCCCAAGCAGTGCTCTAATGTTGGGTGCACCGGAGCTGAATTGCAGCAGCACCCATCACCAAGGGTCAGACAAGGATGGCTTTTCCCCAGCTACTTCTTTTGTTGGTGGTTTGTCACTCCCAAAGGTCCCTTCTGGATCGTGTTTCCTGTGGCTGTGTAGGGAGGAGGAACTCTGAGGCTTGGAGCGCCTCGGGTCTTCATCCGGGAAAAATGAGGCAGGACAGGTGCCCAGCAGGGCTGCTGCCAACTCAACGCTCTCCTCTTCGCTATTGCCATGGGTATGCCTAAGCCATTGTCATTCTTACCTCATTAGAATTATTAGCTGCAGCAATTAAAAATAAAGCATGAAAATGTCAGCAATGATCATTACTTGGAGGCATTCAGCGGCTGTAAACTTATTGGAGCTCCTCATTTGTTTTCCAAAATCGTATTAGGCCTGCATTTTTCAAAGGCTGCACATTATTTTTAATAACATTGAAATGTTTGTTTAATGTGCATTTCCTCAGTAGCAATTTGGCTCCCTGCTATAAGCTGTTACTGCCTTACTAAAAGAAAATTCAATGTATTTTTGAAAATGTTATTAAATATACAGATATTTTGTGGAAAACCCTGCAATGTAAGCAATAAAGCAGCATTCTCCGGGGTCTTTTTGTCTGTAAGCAATTAAAAAAGAAACCTGGGTTACTGAAGTGGGAATTCAGCACTCGCCTTGCAGGTTCTGTTGAGGGAAAGGGGACTGGCTTGTTATTAGAGGGACAGCTTTGGCTGGGAAGGAACCCCAGCCTAGAAAAAAATCACCAATTCAGTCTGCATCCCACGGTGAAATCCAAATCCAGGAGGCTCCCTTGCAGACCCAGACAGGGAGAAGAAACAGCCTTTACCCACCATACACAATGGCAAGGCAATCAGAGAATAAATATGGCCTGTCTGACTGTTCCCTGAGTACCGTGAGGTACAACCTTTGCACTATCTCACACTAGCAGGGATCCAACTTGCACATACACTATCTTCTTTTCTCTTGGCACTGTTTCCAGGTAAACTGCAAAGCAAAAGAAATTGCAGCTGGGTTAAATAGATTTTTGCTGCATATTCCCTTGAGACCAGCTTTTGGGGATGTCTGGCACAGAAGTAAAGCTCTAGATAGCCCTTTAAAATGATTTCACACACCCCATAAAAGCTTGAATTCAAGATTCTATTTGAATTACTGAAAATTCTCAGGAAGACAATACCCCAGATAAGGGATATCTACTGGTGAGCACAGCATAGCAATGATGTGCCAATAAACTCAGTGCCAAACAACAATCCTCTCTGGGATCCTAGGCCTGACCTGGGAAGTACAAAGGTGATGACAAAGATTTTCTTTTAAAAGACAATATTAAATTCATTAGTTGTGAGAGATGTGAAATTTTGACAAACATATGGGATAGGTAGAAAAGCCTTTTATTTTTAGCTTTGTTACAGGCTGCCTTCTGCCTCTGGGAATGTTATTTAACCCCTCCATACTTTTGTTTCCCATATTTAAAATGGGAAATAATGACAGGGACAAACTCACAGGCGTGTTGCTTCATAACTTTGAGCTTCTGGGATGAAAGGTATTACTGAAGTGCAGAATATGCTCAGGTATCACTTTATTTCTGTGCCAAATGCTTTTCACAATCTGCTTAGCAAGACATTAGAGAGAAATAATACCTCAGCTTCCATCCCTGCTTAAAAATCTCTAAAATAAAGACAAAGAGAAACCAGTAGCAAACATTCAGCTATTAATTCTGCTTCTTTATTTCCCTTCCCATTTTCTGGTGAATATGGCTGTAAGTTCTGAGACTACCGGGACAGGAGAAAGATAGGAAGGAAACAGAAAGTAAGGCTGAGGGAGATGGCTGAAGATGACTGCAACCATCCTTCTGCATCAAGGCTGGGCTTGAATGCACCTCTGGAAGTTGTTGTCCCGGGCAGCCTGGCAGATCTCTTCCCCTCCAGCTAAATGGTGACACCACAGCTGCAGTGTAAGCTACAGCCCTAGCAATGCGGCGCTGTCTGTTGCACTTGTGTAACACAACACAAGAGAGGAGGTAC